GTGTAGTTTGAGAACATTAAATCATGGGTGGGCAACATGTTGTCCTCTATGCCAAAGGTGCTTTTTTCAAGAGGCAACTGGGCTTTCTGGTTTTTCTTTGAAGAGGTTTCGCTTCTTATCCAAGAAGCTTCTTCAGCTTTGACTGGATGTGGGGGAATGGAAGGATTGTCCCAAAGGTGCTTTAGCCATCCAATCAGAGATGAAGAAGGAAACCTCTTCAAAGAAAAACCAGAAAGCCCAGTTGCCTCTTGAAAAAAGCACCTTTGGCATAGAGGACAACATGTTGCCCACCCATGATTTAATGTTCTCAAACTACACAGATGTGGTTAAGAGACAGTCTTGGAAAAGGATTGAGAAGACATAAGATGAAGTTCCTTTTACCAGAGGCAGATCCATGATAAAGTTGTAGGCATTGGCTTCTTTGGCTGCTCTGACGATGTCTTCCATAGTGGCATCTTCCCGACCGTAGGAGATGTTTTCTGCTATAGTGGTGGAAAACAGGACCGGTTCTTGTTCCACCACTCCCATCAAAGAACGCAGCCACTGAATGTTAAGGGAACGAATGTCATGTCCATCTAGGGTAACCTGCACAATAACAGTTCATAGGTAAAAATTATGGTCACCTGTACCTTCAAGTCAACATCTTCCTCTCTTAACAGGAAGCTGCTTCTTAAAACAGCAGCACCGTACTCCATTGTGCTCCCAGTTTCGTGTCTAATACCTACATACAATGCCTGGAAGAACAGCTGTTGAGGCTTAGCTTAGATCAGGGGTGTCAAACTCAATTTCATTGAGGACCGCATGAGGGTTGGATTGGCCTTGGGGGGACCGGGGGGGGGACATGATCAGTTTCACATCATTCGTGTCAGGGGCGCCCTGTGGTGGCCCAAGCGTTCTGCCAGTGAAAACGGGTCCCCGAGCTCCGTTTTCAGCTGCAATGGCTTCCTGCAACTCTCTGCCAGTGAAAATGGAGCTCGGGGGCTGTGCATGGCCCTCATGAGCTCCATTTCTGACTGCAACATCCTCCTGCAACTCTCTGCCAGCAGAAACGGGGTGGAATGGGGGTGAATGCAGCCCCCCCCAAGCTCCATTTTCTCTGGCAGAAGTATCATGGGCCAGTCCTTTACTGTTTCCAGGGTGGCCCTGTGGACCAGATCTAACTACCCCGCAGGTCGGATCCGGCCCCCGGGCCTTGAGTTGGACACCCCTGTCTTAGATAATTAATTTTCCATAATTTTCTTTTTATCTCATCTCTTGGTTTCAAACCTCATTTGTTCTACAGCATCTGAGTATCCCTTGCAGGGAGGTGATAATATAAGGTCTTTTTGGACACATGGCATTAGCTTCTCAATTATTTGAATTCTGATCATTGTATCGATATGCTGAAAAACCCCAGTTGTTGTCTTTAACACAACAAACCATCTACTTAATTTTTTAACACTATATGTGAGAGTTGGTTAGCAATGAAACGAAATGAAATGAGCAATGATACAATACTAGGTACCGGTATTTAGGTCAAACCAATTCTGAATTTTCCAGAGATGAATGTTCTTTTAGTGGATATTTTAATTCAGATGCAGCCTGTGAGATAATGTTACTTAATAATATCATTTACCTAGGTGGATTGGATATTAAAAGATGATGAAAAGAAGTTTAAAATATTTTTGCACAGATGGCTTGTGCCATGTCCTGGAGCACATCATAATGGATTTTTTTCTTCATTTTATCGTAATGAAATATGTGTACCCAGCTAACTTCCTCAACAAAATCAGAGTTAGGCAAATTTTGACCTAATGAGGTTCATGAAGCTTACTGCAAAGTATTAAATTTAACTGCTCTGAGCCCTGACAGAACTACCTGTCAAGATTCATTTCCCATTTTATCAAATAGCCTATTCACAGAATGTATTCTATACATATATTTAAAAATTCCATTTTTCCCAGTTTTGAAACCCAGGCATCTCTCATATAAATCTGAATGTGGCCTCAGTCCTCTTTGACATGTTTCAAGTCCCTGAGGTGATTTGCCCAACTACGAGATTTGGTAGAGTGGGTGGGGGGTACGTTCCAGTCCCTTAAATATTGTCATTTGATGGGACCTGAGAGGCATATCTTCTCAGCAGCTGTGCCTATTCTTTGGAATAACCCCTGCTCTATGAGACTCAAGGGTTCTCTACCATTTTAGCATTCAGAAAGCCATGAAGAGATGATTCTTCCTTCCAAGCATTGGGCTAGGATGGAGGTTGAGTGAGGAAGCTGTTTGGTCTGACATCTGATGGGAAAGATGGTTTGGTTTCTATATCTGTTTGTATCTCTGTTTGTATTAGGGGTGGATTGCTGCCAACATTACTCCCAGTTCGTCACACAAAAAAATTTGTTCCATGCGCGTGCGCATTTGTACCTAAAAAGGTCTGTGCATGCGCACAACGTCAGACAATGAAAAAAATGTACATTTTTGCAATGAAGATTTTTCTGCAGATGCACAGAACCGAAAATCAAGATGGCCACCAATAGAACCGGTTCAGGGACGTAGCAGGCCAAGTTACTACCTACTGGGCCAAACCGGTCCGAACCAGTAGGAACCCACCTCTGGTTTGTATTGATTATTATGAGCTGGCTAGAATCACTATTTGAGATAGGTGGCCATTTTAGATGGCCATTTTAGGTGGCCATTTTAGTTTGATAAGTAAGTAAGTAAATAAATGTTTACTTTTAAGTAAGTAAATAAATGTTATTTTGCTCTCTGAGTCCAAAGAACGGTTGTTTAGGAGGCTAAGAGCATGGCTTCATAGTAAATTGCAAACATAATTATGTAGCAAGCATTGATAGGTTTTTTCACGATTTCCCGAGGATAGAGCCGAGGTGGTGCAGTGGTTAAATGCAGCACTGCAGGCTACTTCAGCTGACTGCAGTTCTGCAGTTCGGCTGTTCAAATCTCACCGGCTCAGGGTTGACTCAACCATCTATCCTTCCGACGTTGGTCATATGTGGAGCCGGATTGTTGTTGGAGGCAATATACTGACTCTGTAAACCGCTTAG